GTGCGCCGCGAAATATTGTAAGAGCTTCATTTAAAGAAAATGTCCAGTAATTTGCAGGCTCATCCATCACTTTAATGATTAAATAGTAATTTAATGTTAATAAAGTATAAAAAAATAATGAATATACACTAGTTTTATTTATTTTTATCTCTTACTTACAAACAGTTATGGAAACATTTTAATTGCAAAAGGGCACTGCGACTAGGAAAAGTTTGGGAACCACTTCATGCACTTCATTTTTTTAGAAGGTGGTTGGAAGCAATTCGTAAATTGATCGCACTTGATACCGAAAGAGGGTTTCCTTGGAAGTTTGGTTGTTGAATTGTGTGAAGAAGACCTCGACTCACCGTCCTACCAGTCCGATGCCTCTGTGCTGAGCTTTCGTCTGTCATGTGACGGATTTCACCAGAGCCAGCAACCATTATTCACGAACAAACATCACAAAGGATTGCCTTGATGTTGGCTTGTGGAAGACATTCGAGACTTCAGTAAGAGAACTTTTCACTCTAGGACGCTCGCATCAGTTTATGAAGAGTTGACAGTTTTGTTTTCTCACCATGTGACACGAATTGGAGTTATGCATTCAATGAATTTCGCCCAACTAAAAAGTGATTGTCCGTGAATAATAGTCTCTTGAGCTGACGATGGCAGCCACATGACGGGGCAGGGCTCAGCGCGGAGTCATCGGGGTGGTAGGACGGTGAGCCGGGGTCTTTCTTGCACAATTGTACAGACAAACCTCGGTATCTGATGCGGCCAGTTTGCGAATCCCTTATAGGCACCTTCTCAAACGAAATGAAAGGTATGCTTTTTCGAAGGGATTCTTCATTTTTTCCATTTTGTTCAATCTTTTATGTATGCATTGTGTTACCATTCAATCTCAGCCTCCCTCCAATCTCGCCGTTAGCCAGTTGACATTCCAGCTTAGTCTGAGTTGACTAGATGGCTTACTGTTGATTAATGAATACCCAATCACTACGTCATCTGCATTCGCGCAAATTGATGCTGAATTGGAATTTAGTCTCATTTTTTACCACAATTGCCCGCAAACCAGGCAACTTCCGGACCCCGAAGCGCTGGTACATCTGAACTGCGTCGTGGTCTATTCTGGGAAGTCATTATTCACACCACCACCACCAACACAATCATCATAATCATCATCAACAACAGTAACAGCAACAACCCGTCATCAGTACCACCATCATTATCACTTCCACAATTAGCATAATCATCATCGCCATCATCTTTCGACTATTTTGAATGACTCTTTGGCAAGCATTTCCATAGTTATGCTTGAACGTTCGCGACTGCCCTAGAGTGGAATGGCGTAAAAGAGACGAAGGCAGGAAACGCTGGGCGCAAGAGAACGAGAGAAGGTTGGAAAAGGTTGGACCGACGACTCGGTGGGGGCAAGTGCCTGAGGGACAAAGAAGAGTCGGGTCAGACTGGGGTCAGCGCGAGAAAGAGACGTGCAGAATGCCGGAGACGATGATGAGACCAATGGGGACAGGGCATGCTCGTGAAGATGAACTGGGCTGCGAGAGCAGGCCTGGCCGAGTCTGAGGCAAGAGGAGGCATCAGCTTGATGCTATCTTTCTCTCTCTCTCTCTCTCTCTCT